GATTTGGAGCTCCTTCAGAGTGACAGCTGCTGCTCATAATGATCACAAATCTTTTTACAGATGTATCATCTTGATGCGTGCTTCCTTTTTATATGGTTAAATGGAACTGTGCATATTTATAGGATTGTGATGCACCAAGTCATTACAGCTCCAATCTGTCTCAACTTTCGTTTAAGACTGAATTCAATGAAAATAAATAAACATTGGGACAGTTATAAACCAAGTTGCCAACAGACATTCACCACTACATAAAGGTCTGATGTATCCCTATGATACTTTTAACACATTGACTATCAGACAGGAAGGGCATCAACAAAATAATCAACTACTAGATACAGATTCAATTATGTGAGTAAATGCATTCCAAAATGCTGATCCGCAGAGAGTTACGCCAGAACAGCCTGACAGAATTAATCTTGCATCTGCTTTTGTGCACATTTTCTCAAATAGAGATGACATGCAATTTGCAAAACAAACTGAATTTATCTATACATGATTCTAAATATGGGCTCCTCTGCTTTGTTAGCAAATGAACTTATTTTCTATCAAACAACTTTTCAATTTAGGGATGACCTAAATTAAGCTGCTGATACAGGATGAAAATGAGCTATTTAAACTTCCAGACAAAAATTAAGCTTCAACTTACTGGAAAGTTTGGTGGCTAGATTGGATGGCCAGAAAAGTGAGCAGGGATCACAATGTCCAATTATCCCACAACATTTTAATGCAACAACAACAGCATGTCAATAATTTCAGCATCCAGTGAATTATAACAAAACTGTTGTGTAGCTGGACTTATCAGCAATACGTTAATACTGGTGAGTGGTTAGCACCAATTGAAGTTAGCCTGCACCTTGTAAATGAGAGGTGTAATGTAGCTAGGAATTCACCTTTGTCGCTGGCTGCATCATTTATTTAGTTTCTAGTGGTACGGTAGTAGCATCCCCACCTTTGAGCAGGAGGCCCAGGTTCACGTACCAGCTGATCTAAAAGTGTATAATAAAATACCTGAACAGAACATAGAATAGTACAGCACAGGAACAGGCTCTTTGGCCAATCATGTCTGTGCCAACAATGATGACATTCTAAACTAATCCCATCTGCCTGTACATTGCCTGTATCCAGCTAATCCCTGCCTGTTCGCGTGTCTGTCCAAATGCCTCCTAAACATTGCTATTGTATCTTTATGGTTCATTAGTAAATGTTTTGTAGATGGGAGTTGTCTATGAAGTGAATCTGGCCAGTAAAATATTGAAGAATGGTACAACATGTGAAAGACTGGGATCCAATCTTTATGCACACTGCATGGAATGCCTTGATGGAAGAGCTCCAGTCTACAGTGAGGGTCAATAGGCCCTTCAGAAATATGTCCAGAAGTAATTGGGAGCAGATGGTTGTGAAGAGCAGTGTCAGAATCAAACCCTGAAGATCTGGTTGCAGCGCTGCAAGAAGTTCAATGACTTCACATGACTGGTTAAGTTCAGCAAATGTATCTCGAAAAGGCATATACTGCCAACTGCACCACTAGGTTCAGAAACTGCTCAACTCACAACACCCTCATCACTCACCTACCATAAATTTCTATCAATCAGGACTTGTCATGACATTCATATGCTTCACCTCACTCTCACACACAGAGCATGGCTGCAAGCTTCACACTCACATATCACAGCTAACACACGTTGCTAGCTATTGAACCACCACAACCACATTGCACAACACCCATTGACACACTTCTCAGAATCTTGCAAATCAAGGCAGAACTGGAAGCAGCAGAAGCTTACATGAGGGGACAGACATGCCTGTACGTCCTAATCCCCTTGCTGGAAATGGTGTTGGCATTAAGATGCCCATTGCTCAGGTTGTGCCCAATGAGTGGCCTCATACATAATCTTCCTCCTCACAATCCTATCTCCTCCTCATCCCACAAACTCTCATGTTTACAAGCTGCAGGTGATGTAAGCAAGCCATCTCTGACTCTCTCCCACCCCAGACCACAACAATACCTGTTTGTCTTTCCCTATCAGAGACTCAAGAAGTCTAACCTGATGGGGCAGTGATGATAAAAGCATACCATCTTTGAATTTCACGCTTGCAAGCACCAGTGTAGATACTAACACAACACATATATTAGGTTAGAATAAAGGCAGATTCTGCACACAGTGAGATATTTGACATGAGTGGGCTGGAGTTAAGGGTAACATAGATGGCAGCTTGCCTGAGGACAAGATTATATGCAAGATCTGCTACAGTGGACACTGATCAAACAGCCTGCAGCAGATGTCTCACAAAATATACAAAGAAATGCTTGCTGTCTTGGGGTTTCAGTTACCATAAGACTTAGGAGCACAAGTCAGCCATTCGGCCCATCAAGTCAGCTCTGCCATTCAATAAAATAATGGCTGACCCGATAGTACTCAAATCCACTTTTCTGCTTTATCCCTGCTTCCCTTCATTCTCTTACTGATTAAAATTTTGTCTATTTCAACCTTGAATATAATTAATAACCCAGACTCAACAGAGCTCTGCTGTAAGGAATACAGGTACCACAATTTTTACTCAGAGAAAAAACATCCTCATTAACTATGTCTTATACAGGCAATCCCTTACTCTGAGATTAGGTTTTCTGGTCTTCACCCACAGAGGACTCACTCTATCAAGCCCCTTAAGAATCTTTTCACTATTTCAATAAGATCTCCTCTTATTCTCCACAATAAGCACAAGCCCAACCTACCACAGGAAATCTCTCGACAAGTAGGATCTGCCTAGTGAACCCTCTCTAGCTGCCTCCAATACCAGTATATCTTTCCTTAGATAAGGGGGGGCCAAACAGTAATCCAAGTGTGGTCTAACTATTGCTTTTAATGGTTTTAGCATGATCTACCTATTTTTATATTCGATTCCCTTTGAAATAAAGGCCAAAGCCTACTTACCTTCTATATTACCTAATGAACCTCTATGCCTGCTTTTTGAGATTCATGTACAAGGACCCCTGGAAATCCCTCTCTACTGTAGCTTTCTGCACTTCTTCTCCATTTATGTAATACTCAGGCTCCTCTAGCCTTCCTGTCAAAGTACATAACCTCACATTTTCCCAAATTATATTCCATTTTTTTTTGCCAGCTCACTTAACCTGTCTTGTCTTCCTGAGTCATCCTCTCTACTAGCCTTCCTAGTTACATAGAACATAGAACAATACAGCACAGTACAGGCCCTTCAGTCCACGATGTTGTGCCGAACTCTACCCTAAACCTAAGGTCTATCTAACCTCCACCCCTACCTTATACTATCATCCATATGCCTGTCTAATAGCCGCTTAAATGCCCCTAATGAGGCCGACTCCACAACCCTCTCTGGTAATGCATTCCACACCCCTACCACTCTCTGAGTAAAGAACCTATCTCTGATGTCTCCCCTGTATCTACCTCCATTCACTTTAAAACTATGCCCCCTTGCAATAGCTATCTCCACCCTAGGAAAAAGTCTCTGGCTGTCTACTCTTTCTATGCCTCTGATCATTTTGTACACCTCTATCAAGTCACCTCTCATCCTTTGTCGTTCCAAAGGGAAAAGCCCTCGCTCTCTCAACCTTCCCTAGTAAGACCTTCCCTCCATTCCAGGCAACATCCCGGTAAATCTCCTCTGCACCTTTTCCAACGCTTCCACATCTTAGTTATTTTTGTATTATCAGCAAACTTGGCAATAGTACATTCACTTTCCTCACTGATGTCATTGTAATATAATTTAGATAATTGTGGGACTACACTGTCCCCTGAGTCAATCCACTGGTTACAGGCTGCCATCCTGAAAATGCCCTCTTATCCCACCTTCCATTAGTTAGGCAAATCTTAAATCAAGCCATTTAGGTGTGAAATAAAGGAGTACTTTTTCATCCAAAGGGCTGTAGAAATCTTATTCAAAAAAATTCATCCAAAAATTAAGGGTATTGTGTCAAGACCAAATTTTCCAAGACTAAGATTGATAAATCTTTTTTTGGCAAGTACATCAGAATATATTAAAATATATTTTGATATATGAATATATCAATGGCAGATATATTGTGCCTAGCAATAGGCACACCATTAATCTAATCAAATGTTGAAATAGGCTCAAGGAATGGAATGTCCTACAAAAACACACGCTAAAGAAGTGAAGGGAAGCAAATAACGCTTGTTCTTTTTGCAATGCGACTATACATTTGCTAAAAAAGAAATTGGTATATTTTCATTGATTCTTTTAGAACATAGATTAGTATTTCCAAATGTCCCTAACTAGTTATGGCCAATTTTCACACTGCTTCCCTGACATGAATGGGTGACTAATATGGCAGTTCCATGCTTCCCTGTCTATCACCAAGCTGTGCCTGTGACATTTTCATTCTACAAGGAAGTGACAAAGAACATTTTCATACTTTTTCCTCTTCAGTTTCAATGGCTTGGAATTTTCTCTCCCTCTCACTCAAAAGTGACAAGATACCATTTTGAGTTTTTATTCCATGAGGCACTTATGCTGGATGGTGCATCTATAGCAACATAGCAGCCACAGGTGCCAATACATAACATGGCAATAGCTCTGTTCCAGGAAACAGGACAGAGTCATGGTTGGAGCAAAGCATCAAGACCCCAGCCTTTGAATTTGCAGCAATGTGGCACTTAGTCCAAGTTTTTATAAGTGACCAGTCAACAAAAGCAACAAAATCATCAAAGAGTTACAGCTATCAACAAAGAAGCTAAATACATTGGCTTGCTTCTATTATTATTTAGCAGTGTTTCTGACTGGGAAAAAGTCTTGCTTTCATGCAACACTGTATTTCCATAATGGTGCAGCTATATATGTCTATGCATGTACAGATGGCTTGTGCATGTAGAATACGCTGAGATTCAGTAGTTCGTGGTGTGACCGTGAAGGGATCAGCGGGACTCAGTGATGCTCCACACTGTGACAAGTAATTCACTATGAATACACCACCACATGTTTCACAACTAATTAACTTGACTGACCTCCACCAGCTTTCGTAAGGCCTCTTGCAGCAAACAGCCCAATCGCTCTGGTTCTTCTTGCATTCCAGTTAAGATACAGACACTCTTAGAAAGACTTTCTACAGGGAGAAAGAAAAATTAATTCAAGATTTTTCACTTTCTCAGTGAAACATACTGATGCTCCTCAAACAAAATAACATTTCCCCTTCATTTTTTTTTTCCAAATACCCCAATACTAAAAAGGGCACATAAGCCAAACACCTACTCCCAAACCTGAAGGCAGTATTTCACGCTGTTGAACAGCTGCACAGTTGTCCACATTCCTCTGGTACCTCATCCTTGTAGCCATGTGTGGATGGTGCCATGGAAATATGAGACTCCACTCCCTATGCAGGAACTTGTATTATCTCTGTGTAAATTGGACAATCTAACAGGGTTGTCAAACTTTGTTACACCCACTGATGTTAGAATCTGGTGTTATTAATGACATGACTGAACTTGGCTTTTGCCTACAATACATGTAGCCAAACTGGGAAGTCAAGGATGAAGCCAGAATGTGAGATGTCTTAATAAACTATGATGTGTCAGAAAGCCCTTTTCTAACTGAGCACTGGAATTGCTAACATTATTAGTTCAGGGCTACTTCCATCATTTGCTGCACTTTTTGTTATTTCCAGTACAAATCAAAAATAGATGTACATGTAGTCGTAAACCATGAAGTCAAATGTGCTACACACTTTCCATATGGTAAGCACTCTTTAATTCCAGTGAAAATAAATAAGTACAGAAAATATGACAAAGGCAAAAGGTCAATCAGCATTTGAAAAAAAGTTCACTATTTCAGCAAGACCCTTCGCCAATAACCCATTTTTTAAATTTCAAATACAGACTGACCTATTTCCATTCTTTACTTAAAACAGCTAAAATTAACTGTTTCTTTTTTAAATATTGTGATGATACTATGCCTTTAAGAGGTATAGTTTGAACTGTTTCTTTTTTGTGTGAAGACTGGTTGAGACAGAGGTGCCAAGCATTCAGTCCCAAGCAAATAAAGTGAACAGTTTGTGAGGCCTTGTGTTTTTTTTTTAAAGCTGGAACATTAGAAGCAGCATGAAGGGGAAGGGTCAAGTTCCCACAGAACCAGGATTTTAGTTAACTTGCAATAGCTGTTGAAGTTTGGAAGCTCCTATTCTTCTCTCCCTGCTACAGCAAAATGCTGGAGTTCTTGTTCTCTCAGAATTTTCTCTTGATGTTCTCTCCTTCTGGATTGGAGAAATGTGGCATGTGGGACAATCTATTTTATTGAATTTGCCTCTGCCAAGGGTGTGTTTATGGAAACAGTTGCTGTTTAGCAGTTAAATAATCTGTTATTTTGTTAAATTTTCCAACAGAGTTAAGTTACTCCAATGTTTCTTTCTTCTCTTTGTATTTTAACTACAGTGTAAGAATAAAGTGTGTTTTGCTTCAAGCCTGTTAGTTTGACCAATCAAATTGCATCCGAAACAAAACACCTTACACTTATCTTTTAAAAATAAGAAAACGTTGGGAGTCTCGGCTATCTACTTAATATATTTTGAGGGGGTTTGATCTGGTCCATAACAATATTATTTTGTTTCCTACATAAGAGCTGGTAAATATTTTCATTCCTAAAAGGCACCTCCTTAGTGAGTTGCTCCCCATTTGCTCAACATGGAGCTGAAGGCTAACTTGTCCTCCATTCCAGGGCAGCATCTCACTTATGCAAAGCATACTTGTGTCAGTAAGATCACTTCCTACAATAGCAATCAAAACCAGAAGCTCATGTTGAAATAAGTAAAAAGCCTTGCAGTCTCCTCTGTTACCCCCTGCTTCTGGAATTACTCCAAACAAAACCTTAAAGTTGAAGATTTCAGAGGGTTCCAACTCATTTAAGCATAGTCATTATATAGGAAATGCTAGCGGATTAAATAAAAAAAAGGTAAAGTCACTGCTGTCCCAGAGGACCATAGGGCTGCTCTCTTATTAGAGACAGACAACATTAGAGACAGTGATGAGTTTAATTAGTGGGTCATTCCACCTCAGGCAATGGATGACGCTGAGAGTCAGGGCTTTCACAGTAAACCGCAGTGCGTACTGTACAGAATTAAAAGCCTACTCAAGCTCTAGGGTCAATACTAATAAAACTGAACCCCAGTTCACCATTATCCTCCTCAAATATACCCACCCTGAACCTTGAAACATCCCATACCCAATACTAGCCTCACCCACCCAGCCCAGTCTCACCGGAGCCAACATCTCAACGCCCCCCCCCCCCCACCCCACCTCTGATATGACGCGCCCGACCTAAACAAACACGCACTGACCCAACCCAGTCCCACCAGACTATAATTTCCCTGCCCCTAACCCATGCCCACCAAAACCCCTGCACTAACCATTTTGATAATGATCTTCTCTGACAGTCGCAAGATCTGCTGGTCCAACTGTACTGCTTTTTCCAAGGGAAAAAAAAGCATAACCTCTTTCTTTGTCTCACAAGATACAAATAATACCAATTTTTTTTAATGCGAAAGGTTTGTAATGTGTACTCATGGTTTTCTGAAAAGAGCTATTCTGGCTGCAATCATTTAACTGGTTAATGGACTTCCAAATGTGTAATTTAGCAATACAATTTCATAAAGGTTTCTGATTCTACCCAAGGTACATTCGGAACTAGTTGACTTCCAATACAGAAATGGTGAGATTACAACAACTGGCCCTTATCCAGAAAGGGAAAAACAAAAAGCAAGAATTCTCTTCATGATCACTGTGCAGTTGCTTCAGATTTTACATGTGGGCATTGAGTGGAGATGGATAGTCAACACATGTGAATAATCCAATGATACCTACAAGAGGAACTGAATGACCGTTTAAAAATTTAAGAACTAGGAGCCAGGGTAGGCAGTTCAGTCCCTCAAGCCTACTCCACCATTCGATACAATCATGGCTGATCTCCTCTTGGCCTCAACTCCACTTTCCACTTTAAGAATGGACACTTGATCCAGAAAAGGCAAGACTCATGGAATTAAACATGTACTCCTACTCCTGACAGCAGCACTTTGAGTTGACTCCACCTATATTACAGACTCGAAACGATAAAATAAATGTCTTACCGGTGCACATCAGTTCAGATGTGTGGAACAAACCTAATGTATGTACGAGATATCCAGATAATCTGTCCACTTAATTCATTGCTGTTCATGAAATTTGACAAATAACCGTGACTTCTGCTTAGAAGGAACTAGTTGTACACAGATGTTCACTTAAATCATTGCTGTCAGAGCTGTGTCACAATTTTGAACATGTTGGGAAGGCTTGACTCCAGAAGACAGCTTACTGCTGTTACTAGGTCCACAGTAAAGCATACAGATGATCAGGAGAGACATGAAAGGTAGCGATTTTTACGTTGCAAACAGAATAGGGTGTGATCTGGTTGGGCTGGTTGTATGTAGCATTCTGCTATAAATTTCATCAGGTCTCATCACTGAGTCCTTCATAAAACTGTTAATTACATGGCTGTGAAAGCCATTGTTCACCAACATCAATAGAACAAAAATATCCAGCAGTGTGTAAAACAGATAGCCAACTCACTACACCCGTCTTATGCTGCCACCACCAATTTTATCCTCGATATGCTTCAATGAGTTATAATGTGAATTTGCCTGCAGCAAGAAGGAACAGAAGTCACAAATTATACTTTAAACAAGACCCCACACTGAAAGTGAATTCAACAAATGTGTTGACTCATGAGTTCCACGAGGAAAACGTTATTCGAGAAAACCTATCAACTTTCAATTTCAACAAACTGGTGTTCTCGCAGGACAGGGTGCTTGTCACCTTAATCTAGCCTGACCTTTGTGTAACCCTAGTTGCACACTGGGGCTGACTCTAAATTCCCTCAAATCAACCAGGGGTGGGGCACCAAATGTTCCATTGCCAGTGCTGCAAATATAGCATGTAGGATTTTTTCAAAACATATTGTATTCAAAGAGTAATGGTCAAATAAAGACTTACTAGTTCCATTTGTTGCTGTCTCCATTTTAAATCGGAAGCTTCTAACCACCTTACAACAGATTGCTGAGGGATCAGTTCAAAGAAAGGAGACCTGTTTGTACCCAAGCAATCATTCCAACTCCACAATATACTGCTGAAGTTTAAAGAAGTTACAAATGATTCCAAATCTTCAACACTTTTATAATATCATTAAAGACAAAAGAGCTGAATTCCAGAGGTGAGGTGAGAGTGGCAGTCCTTGATATCGAGGCTGCATTCGATCGAGCGTGGCATCAAGGAGCCCGAGCAAAACTGGAATCAATGGGTATCAAGGGGCAAACTCTCCACTGGTTGGAGTCATACCTGACACATAGGAAGATGGTCGTGGTTGTTGGAAGTCAGTCATCTCAGCTCCAGGACATCTCTACAGGAGTTCCTCAGGGTACTGTTCTAGGCTCAACCATCTTCAGCTGCTTCATCAATGACCTTCCCTCCACCATAAGGTCAGAAGTGGGGATGTTCCCGACTCTTCAGATACTGAAGCAGTCCATGTTCAAATGCAACAAGATCTGGACAATATCCAGGCTGGGGCTGACAAGTGGTAATAACATTCATGCTGCACAAATGCCAGGCAATGATCATCTCCAATAAGAGACAATCTAACCACCACCCATTGATATTTGATGGTGTTACCATCATTAAATCCTCAACGTCCTTGAGGTCACCATTGATCAGAAACTCAATTGGACTCACCACACAAACGCAGTGGCTACAACAGAAGGTCACAGTCTAGGAATACTGGGGTAAATAAGTCATCTCCTGACTCCCAAAGCCTGTCCATAATCTACAAGGCTCAAGTCAGGAGTGTGATGGAATGCTCCCCAATTTCCTGGATGAGTGCAGCTCCAACAACACTCAAGATGATTGACACCATCCAGGACAAAGCAACCTGCTTGATTGGCACCACATCCACTGCCTCCACCACTGACGCTCAGTAGCAGCAGTGTGTACTATCTGCAAGATGCACTGCAGAAATTTACCAAAGATTCTCAGACAACACTTTCTAAACCCACAACCACTTCCATGTAGAAGGACAGGGGCAGCAAACATACGAGAACAGCACTGCCTGCAAGTGTCACCACTCTGACTTAGAAATATGTCACTGTTCCTTCACTGTCGCTGGGTCAAAATTCTGGAATTCTCTCCCTTGTAGCATTATGGGTCGGCCCACAGCAAGTGGACTGCACTGGTTCAAAAAGGCAGCCCACCACCATCATCTCAAGGCCAACTAGGCACAGGCAATAAACAACTAGTGATGCCCACATCCCAGGAATGAATAAAATAATGCCCTCTTCTCATTCAATATAGTGCTAAAAATCAATACATGTTTGCTTTTGAAGCGGTTTTCATCAGGTTAAGCAAAGTTAGCAAAACTAAGAATGAAATAAACTTGAATAAATGGACATGCCTCCACTTATCAGTAGTTTAAAATTCCTATTCTGGGACTTTTTGTACAATAACTGCTCTTGAGTCACTAATTGTGCCTATGGACAGCGTATAAGTGTCTTCTGAATAATGTTCCTAGTTCTGTAATAAGTTACTGTGCAAATTACCATCACACTTTGAACACAATCAACATTCAGTGATAATAGGAACAGAGTTCAGACACAGCTAGCTCTGTAAAGCAGTTCAAACAACTCAATCTGAAATAAACATGAAGACATACCCTTGATAATCGATTCAGCTGCATAGAGGTCTCGCTTGTAAGTTACCTAAGGGGCAAACAAATTGCATTATGTTTATTGCAGAAAGAAAATCAATATCTAATGTAATCATAGCCTGGAGCTGTTTCTTTAAATTATCAAATAAAGAAAATGAAAAAAAAATCACAGTGTACTCAGGATATCTGGTTTTGCTTTAGGTGCAAACATTAAAACTGAAGGATGTTATATTGTACTTTCTTCAGTATTTAGTCTTTCATCAGTTAGCAAATCTTTACTGTGGGTGAAATCTCCTGCTCACAGAGGAGACAGGTTGGAGACTGGAAGGGCATTTAATTTGACAGGAAGACAGTATACCCTAACTCCACTGCCTTCCTGCTTTCAGCAGAATTACGTTCTGGGTGAGAAGGTCCACGGGAAACCTTCTTGCCTATTTGTCAATTTTGGACACTTAAAGGACTCGCCACATTGCTGCTGGGGTTCACATGCTATCCTGTCAACTTTTTGTTTTGGGGGGAAGGGAGGTGTCGATCAAAGGCAATCAGTGTTGGAACAAGACACTGGACATCAGGCAGCGACTACCTGCTAGGACCCAGTCACTACCCCTTGTTTCCAAAATTCTCTGCCTCCCTCTTGCTATGAATCACAACCTGAGATCCATCTCTCTACAGCCCTGTCCACAAGATTATCTACTTTGTTCTGGATCTTCCCCAATCCTGCATGTACTCTCTGGCTAGTAGCAACAGCTTCCTGTGTAGCAGCACTGGGCCTGAGCTGCCTGCCCTTTGATTGTCTGGCAGTTCCTGCTGGACAGGATGTCCAAGTACAGCATCTTGATTCCACTGGAAGGCCAAACTGTTCGCTTGCCACTGTGTGATCGCCAGTTGAATCAGCTGGACGAGGCAGTGAGGGTCTTTCACTAACCCTGCAGCTGGCAGGCAAGAACACCAATGTTTCAACAAGGTCTGCCCAATATTTCACGTCAACATTTCCCATCAACTTTAGCTTTTCCTTGACAACAGATTTCCTTCTTACTTTCTCCTCTTACTAGCTTTCTTCTCAAATTCTAACCATAACCACACTTCAAAAAGTACCTCATCTGCCTGTAAAAAGTTTTCAGACATCCAGTCATGAACAGTACTGTAAGAAGTCCAAGTCATTTCACTCCCTCAATGGAGAGTATATCCTTCCTTAGGCAAGGGGACCAGATGAAACAGGATTTATTTGCTCCTGTGCTCAAATATCCTTGTGAGAAAGGCTAAAATAAGATTTGCCTTTCAAATTATTTGCTGCCTCTCGCTTTTGTTCTCGCTTCTGAATGAGGACTCAGAGGTCCCTTTGAACATTAACACATGCAACTCCAATCCTCCTGCCAAAGTGGATATCTTCTCACGGACCTACATTGTACTACATCGGTCATGTTCTTGCCCACTCGCTCAGCCTGTTTAACTTCCTATTAAAACCGTCTGCACCCTCCTCACAATTTACATTCCTACCAAAATTGTTTAATCATCTGTGAACTTAGAAATATTCTATTTGGTCCCCACATCAAAATTATCGGTAAGATTGTGCACAGAAGGTACCCAAGCACCAACATTCACATTGGTCACAACCTGCCAACCTAAGAATGATTCATTTACTCCTCTTCCTTACTTTTATCAACCAATCTTCAATCCACATTGGCACCAAATAAATAGGAACATAGGAATAGCAGTCAGCCTTTCAACCTTCAAGTTGTTTCACCATTCAATGAGACCACCGCTGATCTGTAGCCGAACTCAATTTACCTGCCTTTGGTCCAGTTCAATTAACACCTTTGCTCAACAAAAATTGCTGTACCTCAGATTTAGAATTAACGACTGATCAAGCATCCACTGCTTTAGTTCCAACACTCTACCACCCTTTTTGTGTACAAGTACTTCCTAACTTCTCTCATGAACGGTCCAGCCCTGATTCCCATATTAGGTCTTCGAGATCTAAAATCCCCAGTGAGTGGAAATAGTTTATCTTTGTCAACCCTGTCTTTTCCTGTCAATACCTTGAAGACTTCAATCAGATCACCCCCTTAACCTTTCAGATGAGATCCTTAACGAAACGGAAGAGCAGGACCTGTAAAGCAGTAATCTCAGGATTACTCCCAGAAACTTGTGCTCATGAGTACAGAAATAGGAAGATTGAGCAAACACATAGAATGCTGGAGAAACTCAGCAGGTAAGGCAGCAAGTTTCATAGAATCCCTATAAGGGGGAAGCAGGCCATTTGTCCCATTGAGTACATACCAACCCCTCTGAACAGCATCCCACCCAGACCCAACCCCCTACACTATCCTTGTAACCCTGCATTTTCCATGGCTAACCCACCGAGCCTGCAAATCCTGGACACTATGGACTATTTAGCGTAGGCAATCCACGTAACTTGCATAGTTTTGGACTATGGGAGGAAACTGGAGCACCTGGAGGAAACCCACACAGACACAGGGAGAATGTGTACACTCCATAGAGACAGTCTGACTTTTCTTATTTCCAATACTGATATTATTTAAGCCATTTAGCCATCTAACAAGCTCCACTTCACTAATGATTCTGTGGTGCTAAAATTCAGCTTTGGAAGCACTTGAATACCCAGTACAATTTTCATGATGATTAAAGCAAATGGAAAAGAGAATCAGTGGAGTACAAACTGCTATTATGCCTTTTGTTCTATTCCCCAGATGTATTTCTTGTCCAACTTATTTTCATCATGTGCTTGTACATGTGTTTTCTCACTCCTTCTCTTTGCTCTAAACCCTTTTCAAAAGCAATTCATCTGTAACATCTTTCAGTTCTGTCAAAGTGCCCATACAATGCTCTCCACAGCGAGAGGTAATGATACCTCCATACTGCATGTTCCTGCAACAAATACAACCATAGCATCTTCAGCAAGGGAGTAAACACCAGTGTAATAGGGTATAAAAGGACTGGATTTTAAGTCAATTTTTTGAATGAAAATTTTAAAATTTCAACATATAGTTAGTATATGTCTAAATAAAAAACATTCTCCACATTCATATTCTTATTGTACCTTAGCACGAACAAAATATTTATCTCGGCTAAGATTGTTGCCTACCAAGAAACTGAACTGACGTCTGATTAACATTGATATGCAATACTCTGATTCCCAGTGTGCATAATGTGTGAAAATGGTTCAATTGCAGCACCACACACATTTTCTTTATTGTATTAATGGCTGTTTTATCAGAAAGAAAAAAAGCGCACAATCAACATTTTGAAATGATAAATAAGATTTGAATGTGTGACACATATTTCTGGATTTTAACTCTCAGATACAATTATATGACAACAAAAGTCATAAATAGAGCTCATCTGTCTTATTGTGACCCTGCTGGCACATTAATAGTGCAATACAAAACTAACCTGACTGTCCTGCTTTCTTCTGAAAAGTTTTGTGTTTTCTTCTAATGCAATTGCTTTTGCATTCTTCCCTTACAAAATGTAGGGGTCTGCATATCAACCATGCCAATATAATATGTGCAAATGGATCTTTCCTTTTTTTTACTTTCTCAATAGTCTTTGATTGACAGGCCATAAACATTTGCCAAACATAATAAATATTTGTTCCTCATTAATTAATTTATCAATACTTTCTAACAATAATTTTCTGAATCTTAATTAAATCTTCCCTTAACTTTCTGTGTTCCAGTGGATGAAGTCCCATATCACAGATTTCTCCTCATAACTAGTTTCCCATCCCTGCAATCACACTTGTGAATCCATGTTGGAAGCTCCAAGGCTTTGATGTTCTTTCTATAGTGGAATGCCCGACACTTCAAGTTGCAACAATGGTTCAACCAGTGTTTTCTACACACATTGCAGTGCCTCTTAATTCCTGTATTTGATACTATAATTTATAAAATATCTCATTTAATTCCCCTTTCTATCCATTATGTATCTAAATGGATTTTGTTCTAAAACAAATCTTGAGAATACCCTCATATTCTAAACAATACAACAGAATCTGGAATTAGTATTGTTAATGTGGGCCCTTTTAAACAGTCCTTTGTAAATGTTATTGAATATAAAGTTTCTAGAGTTAACTTTTTAGGCCACGACCCAAATTGTTAACTCTCCACCTGCTCAGTATTTCCAACACTTTCTGTTTGCATTAAGTTTCTGGTTTTAAAGTTTGGGAAGTTTAGGTAAAGGTAACAATCCTATTTTAACGATCAAAATAAGTAAAATAAAGCAAAATAGTTAAACTTAAACTGTTCCCTCTTACCTTCCAGAGATCTGGCGGCCCATCAATGAGCTTGGCCGAGGTGCCACAATACTTCAGAGATAAATGGAGACATTCTGTCCCATACTCAAAATCATAATCTGTACACTGTCACAGAAAACAGAAATATGAAGCATACCATATCAATCCTTAAAATCATTAGTTACAGATTAAAATATATTTTTAACCATCCTTGAAGTACAGTAATGCACATTTCTGAAGTTCTAACTTACAGATTTCTATCTTCTACATGAAAATAAACATTTCTAATCTGCTGGCTGTGTCAGAAACACAGACAGAAATTATTATAAATTACTCACAAACTTTCTAAATCCCATTGCGCATTGTAAGTTGGAATATTTTATTACAAAATAGTTTTTTTTGTATCACAGAGAGGACAACATGAAAGCAACTGATTAATAGGAACGGTATAAGTAAAATTCAATCTTTATTAAATGAGATATAATGGGTCTTTTGAAGTCCAAAATTCTGCATGGTATGAATTCACAGTTCCACCAGAAATCAAAGTCAGGGATGAGTAATAAATCTTAGCGACAAAGAAAAAAAAATTACTGATAACTCTGTGCTGTACTGAATTATTGTAAAATATTTTCAAAGCCAAGGATACTCAGCAAGACAGTGTGCAGGAAGGAGGGAACTGATGGGAGATGAAGTTACTGGAACTGAATATTGGAACAAACATTTAACAAGTTGGCCAATTACATCACTTCACAAGGTAAGTTTCTACCTCACTGTGTCTGTATCTCTCTTGTCTCTTCCCAGTCAATGCATGTCCAATAGCTTAGAATGTTATATTGCCACAAAAGTTCCTCAAGGTAGTGCTCCAGGCCCAAACATTTTCAGCTGCTGGAAGAATAGCCTTCTCTCCATCAAAAAGATCAGATGTGGGAAAGTTCCAGTACCACTTGAGACTCCTCAAATACTGAAGCCACCCTTGCCAATACACAGTAAGACCTATACAACATCCAGGCTTCTGCTGATAAGTGGTAATTTACTTTCACACTACACTTGCTATGGCATTGATGTACAAGCATCAGGATGGTGGGCTCTTAGGATGGGAGAAGGGTAGCATTAAGGGCAATGACTTGTGCATGTTAGTCCCCATCCAATGTAGTGGAGCCTGCTCTCTAACCATTCAGTGCTTCCCTGCCATTCAACAAGACCTTGCTGTACCAGGATTACGTGGGTAGTCAGTGTGCAACAGCCACCCAGGATAAAAGAATCTTGGCACAGGGATCTTTCATCCCCTCAAAATGAAGTTTAGGACTTGAAACATCAGGATCTTCAAGGATAATCCCTGTAGTGACAAATTTGGACATTGCACCATTATTATAACCTAGGAACTCCAGTGTCAAATCATTAACATTACTGCCCTGAGTCGGAGATGGTGGGAAAGAGAAGGTCAACTTAAAGTGCAATGACATAGATACACCTTAATCTGGAAACGTAAATGTGAGAAAGAAAACAGACTCCATTATAACCACAACTAGTTAATCTTCTCAGCAAGCCCCTGTGGAATAAATGACCACCTCACGACCTTTCAAATCTCTCTAACCCAAATGCAGCTCACCACAGTCATCAGTGTGTACATCCCAGCCCTTTAAACAGTGGATGAGGCCAAAGATGAATTCTACTCCAGGTTTGATCAATTGTTGTCCAGGGGCTTAATGGGACAAACACTGATTCTCCCCAGTGATTTCAATCCCAGAGTGAGAAGGGATGCACACCTCTGGAAAGTTCTGATTGGCATGGAAGACACAGGGAAGGCCAACAATAAAGGGGTCCGCCTCCTGGTGACATGCCTGGAGCACAGCCTGCTCTAAACTAACACCCTGTTTCATCAGAGAGATAAATACAAGTCCTCATGCCAACATCCTCACCCTGGACAATGGCACTTACTCATCATCCGAACAAGTGACCTCAGGGATGTCAAAATCACCCATACCATGACAGGAGCTGACAACTGCTGGTCTGATCATCACCTAATCCCATCTACAATCTCTAACATCCTGGAAGAAAGCAGGAGCCACCTTTTACATGGCCTCCTTTGACCTTACAACGGCCTCTGGCTCGGTCAACATGTGAGAATTATGGAGCATCCTCCTCAAATTTGGCTAACCTCAGAAATTCCCCACAGCTGCCCAATGACATATGAGCCTTGATACTAACCTATGGATCCACCACAATACAATACTTGTAGAAACGAGAGTCAAGAAGACTTTGTCATGGTTCAACACATTTCTCCATCTTCCTCACCGCAATACCTCCTCATATCCTTGCAGCTCCCTGCTGGAGTGGAGCTTCTTTACAGGATTTTTGGGAAACTGTTCAACCTTTGTCACCTCCAGTCCAGGACCAAGACTACACTAACGTCTATCATTGAGCTGCAGTACACAGATGTCACTTGTATGTACTCACACTCAGGGGCTTTCAACCATTACCCATGCATTGAGATAATGTCTTTCAGCTTAGCTCAGATTTTTCTAATAGTTATGCATCAGAGACATGGACAATATACAGCAGACACCTCAAATCCCTCGAGAAATACCACCAGCAATGCCTCTGTCAAGTCTTGCAAATTCATTGGCAAGACAGATGCTCCACTGTCAGTGCCCTTTCAGGCAGACATCCATTGCATCGAGGCACTGGTTGCAGTCAATCAGCAAAGTTGGGTGGACCACATCACCTTTATGACTTACACCAGACTTCCAGAACAAGCTCTCTCCTCTAAGTTTTGTAAATGCAAGTGGTTACTGTGAGGAAATGTTTCAAAGACACCCTCTGTATAACTCAGGAAGATGAACTAGAAAGGAACATTGTTTATTGTTGAACACTAAAATACAGCCACTATTTGTAGGTTAACTGATTCATTTTTTTCCCCACCACCAAATCACCGTGGTGTTTTTTTTTTAACTATTAACCAGCACCAGTACAACAGCCACGTGGCCAATTGTGGGGTCTGCTTTATTAGTTTTTAATCAATCTAGACCTCCTGGCTCAGAGGTAAGGACACTACTACTGCGCCACAAGAGCCCTTCTTCTGTAATAATGGTATGCAACATTCCAAACTGAGAAACAGACCACTGGCCAAGAAGCCAAGCACATGGGTCAGCTTTATTTTTCTCCACACCATTTTTCTCTATACACAGAAGTGCTATCACACACAACTGAGTGACTTTCACATCACCAAAATTACCAGATTTTTTTTTTTTTTTTTGCTTTTTTTCCCCCTTTTCTAACTACTGAACACCACTAGTAATCACCTGTGTAGCCAATTAAATATTTATAAGCAAAGCCCATTCAGGGCAAATGCAAACCATCATAAGTGAAAGGGAAGTAGGCAGAGAGGGAAGAAGCTAAATCAAAATGGAGTTGGAGCAAGAAATAAACACTGCAACCCCGGAGTGCCCATCTCTGTCTGAAGGCATCGAGAGCATTGATGGACACTCCATGCTCCCTCCCTGTAGGTCTGCTTTATTCTTTTGGCTATCCAAAAGTGTTATCACACACAACCGAATGGTTTTCACACCACCAAATCGGAGTGGTTTTTTTTTGTTTTTAACTGTTAACCACCACCAGCGTGCTGCCAATTAGAAGTTTAAATGCAAAGCCCATCATGGGGAATGCAAACCATGAAAGGTAAGATGGGGGAGGGGTGAGGGGAGCAGGAAGGGACTAAATCACAATGTAATCTCATGGTAACCCATGGTAAGCACCTTTCTCTAAAGACATGGATCAGCTTTATCTTATTTTACGATCTACCCAGAAGTGTTTTCACACAACTGAGCGACCTACCCACCACCAAAATCACCACGACTATTTTGTTTTTGTGTTTTTTTTTAAACTACTAACCACAACCAGCATATCACCTTCATAGCATTCCAATAGTGTGGAAGCAGGCCATTCAGCCCATCGAGTCCACGCTGATCCTATGAAGAGCATCCCACCCAGACCCAGACCTCTATCCTACCCCGTAACCCTGCATTTCCCAGGGCTAACCCAGCTAGCCTGCACATCCCCGGGCACTATGGGCAATTTAGCATGGCCAATCCACCTAACTTACTTATCTTTGGACTGTGAGTTCTGAATTCAATTTCTGAAGAAAGATCTAGGCCCGAAACGTCAGCTTTCCTTCTCCTCTGATGCTGCTTGGCCTGCTGTGTTCATCCAGCTCTACACCTTGTTATCTTTGGACTGTGGCTGGAAACTGAACACCCGGAGGAAACCCGTGCAGAGACGGGATGAACATGCAAACACCACACAGGCTGAGGTAGAATCAAAGCAAATCAACCTGCCACTGCGCCGCCCTGTGTAACCAGATGGAAGGCCCATTATTGGTCAATGCAAACCAAAGTGAGTCTGCTTTTTGTTTAACCTATTTTCTAATCAACCTATACAGACATATTGTTACATATTCTGGAACAGGTGGGACTTGAACCCGGGCCTCCTAGTTTGGAGGTAGGACACTACCACTGCACCACAACAGCCCTGCACTTACTGACATTTGTAAACATTTGGTGCAGTTTAAACAGCCATTAAGTGATCGTAAATTGAATTAATTGACTGTCCACCTCTAATCGATGGACAGCTACACTATTGTCGTTCCCACTTGAAGGAAAGTTCCATGACGAGTGTGGAGACATTGAACTTTTCATCCCACAATTCGCCCCTCTCGGTTTATGAGCTTCCCTGTCTCCTAACCCAAGGACTGGAAAATTCCAGCCTCTCTCCAAATTTTATTGAACTCAAAGCCTTACTAGTCTTCCTTCTCTCACAGTCAGCCTCTCTGTTAAGAAAAACACTCAAGTAAGTTTTCCTCAATAAAAATTTTCAAGTTCTTCCCCCTGATATTCCCGAAATAATTGTGAAAAATTAACGCCGAAGAAACTGTTAAATGAAAAGAAAAACTCTCCAACAATTCTGAATGATACTGATGGATCGTGAGGAAAGTAAACATGCTCCACATGATCAAACTGCACAAGATAAATTCAAATCAGTGCTCAGGGAAACTCACTGCATGATCTCCCCCACCCCACACCTAAACTAAATGTTCTCCTCCAGCTGTGGGCTTGCATTGCAGATACTCT